GGGGGGGGGGGGTCATCTGCAAGAGGAAATCCATGTGATTACGGGACGAATGTAAATTACAAAGAAGATTCAAAGCCCAGCCGTAGAGGTATGTGGCTATGGGCCACTGTGCATCCATCCATCCATCCATCCATCCAGCCTCTAGCTAGTGTCCCAACCACCGGAAATTCATTCCTGTATCTGTTTAAACAGATGTGTTCATGTGCACATTGCCCAAACTCTGTTGACCAGCGTTAGATATGTACATTATGTCACTGCCTCTGAAAACACAGCTTTATACACAGATCTGGCTCGTAATTCATTTATTGACAATGAGAAACAAGGTGATGTATATGCATAAGACGAGGACTGCATGCTCCACTTGCAGTGTTTTGTGACATGTACATTAATTTGTTTAGCAAAGCTTTTGCCCAAAGTGACGCATGAGCACAGCGGTTAGTGTGTCACACGCATACAGCTGTCAGGGAGCCAACTCAGGTGTGAGTGCTGTCTGGCTGCGTGTCTGATGAGTGACCAGTAACAAGTGCCAGTTAACATCGGAGCAAGAGCTAAGTACTACATCACAAATCACTGTGAGAGCCTAACAGGAGAGTCATTCAAATCAAACGCCATTTCATTGTCCACATGTGTATGATCGCAGATTATGGTCATAGATGCTTCATTTCAGAAGGACTCGTTTAGTGGAGTCAATTCCATGCCTTCGTTAACGCAACCAGCGGATCTGAAACTAGTCACCTCTTTTCCCCAGGAGCTGAATGAATTTAATCTGCAAAGAGAAAAAGCTTTTATAGATTCCCCCTATTTAATGGCATTTATATTTAGATTTACCATAATTTTTCCCCTTTCCTGTGCCTGTTCTTGGCTGTGAATTAATCATCAAATTAAGGATATAACGAATTCTGGAATCAGGTACTAATAAACAACTTGCTTTCAAATTCAAAGTGCTGTCTCGGAGCAAGTAATTAGACCAGTGAGGGATATTTTGCTGAATGCACATAAAACCAGACTGCTGTGGGTTCAAAGCCCAGGAGGAGAAGCATGACTGCCCCTGGTCAAAGTATTTGACCTGAATTGTTTCACTAACAACCTCAAGCTGTACTGTGGGTTAAGCTGTGTTCTACACAAACTCTCACAGCAAATAAACACAATTTTGCTCACATGCTGCCGTTTTATTTGGACTTTTATCCGAAGTAGCTTATAAGTTTATCCATATATTGATGACACATTCCTACAAGGGTACAACAACAGATCCCTTATGAGATTTGCACTGACAGACTTCAGGTTAGAGTGCTGTGTCTTTAAATATCATGCTACCTGCTGACAGATAATGGCGGTCTCGTTTGCGGAAGGCGTTCCAGCCTCCTTAAGACGCGCGGGAAGGGCGGCTCGTTCTGCAGGTCCCCCCGCTGAGAGGAGAGCGCATTGTCTCTTGGCCGCTCTCAGCTCCTCCTCCCCCCCTGGCCATGGGGGGCATCATTGCTCACTATCCCAACGGGTTCGCGGTCGTCTCCAGAAGCAGAGCGATGCCCTGACCGCTAGGCTGAGATGAATAATGTCCCCTGCCTGTTCATTGTCTCCCTGGTGCAAAGTTTGAGTTGCCCCACCACCCCCCCCCCCACCCCGGCTAGTGGCGCAGCGCCACCTGGTGGCAGGAGGTGGACGGCGCGAGCGGTTTTCCGTGGCCCGAGGCACGATAAGGTCACCATGCAGACGTGCGTGTATATTGTCAGCCATACTCCATAGGTTATACATCAAATATCCAGATATAGGTGTACACACGAGGGGACTTTTCTTAGCTCCTGTGGGGCCTCCTGCTCCCAGAAGGTAATAAATATGCTACGGTAAAGATGGCAGCTTTTCATGGAACACTGGCTGTTTATCGGAGGCGAGAGAGGTGCAGAGAAATGCTAACAGTGCTCATTAATGGACTGCATCCCGGCTTAATGAGCTGTGTCAGTGTGCAGCCTGGGCCACATCAGGGCCGTAATGGCACCGTAAATGGGTGGTAATCGTGTCCAAATTGTACAGCAGGGGCTCTCAGGAACGAGCCCTCGAACCGGCGGGCTGACAGTGACGGAGCAATTATGGCAGGGTAAGCGAGCTGTGTCAAATTAGCCACCCGCTCCGGCGGCCCGGCCCTCAGCCGCGGCGCCGCAGAGCCGCGGAGCCACAGAGCCGCCGCGCACCGAGTGATAGGTGCTTGATGAGGAGTGATAGGGGGGCGGGCTGCTGAGGAACGCGTGCCGATTTGTCAATAGCTGTGTCTGAATGATCGTGTCACAGATGTACGGTGGTGTTCTGGGGGCGGGGGTCTGGGGGGTACTGAGAGTTGAGAGGGAGCGAGTTCCCTGGTGAAGGTCATCAGTCAGTTAGCTGTCAGGGGCGTCTCTGCCGGCCCGGACACGCGGCTCCTGTAATTACATCCAACCGGGGGATGACGCGGGCTTCTCACGCTGACCCGCACCACCGCCACAACTCGCGACTGCGGGAATCGGGGGGCCCAAGCCCCGCCTCGCCTCCCTCTCACCTATTTCCATGGTGTTATTGTCATTTTTCATTACTGTCTGTTTATTGTTTAGACAAATTATTTTTCAGATCACATGTTTTGAAGACTGAAGGAAATGATCGACTGGCCAAATAATAGAATAAGCCGGTTCTGCTCATGACGTCCAGTCACTGCTGTTTTTTTTTGTCAGTGCACCGTTTTTGAGGTTTTCGTGTTTTTGTGTTTTATTAAAGTGCTGTGGGCGATTTCTGGGGTCAGGTGCTCTCTGAGAGTGTGCAGGCTTTCGTTTCCGTGGCCCGTCGAGAAATTACGGTCTGTCTGCGTGATTCCTTTTAAAGAGCCAATGCTAACCGGCTTGTTTGACAGGACAGCTGCATAGTCTGCAGCAGAGCTGCTTCCTGCACAAGGGAAGACCCTCCCTCCCGCCATGCATTGTGGGAAATACGCCACTCAGCTTTAATATCTCTGCGGTTATATACACTCTGCAGGATATATACAGAGCTGGCACAAGCTGTTAAATCGGCCCACTGGTCTAGATCGATTCAATGGTCTCCTCCCCCTCTCACAGCGTGAAACAGTCAAGCTTAAAATGACAGGCCTAACATACAGCATGTACATGATTGGTGTTGTATGGCTTTAGAAGCAAGTGAGTTGGGAAATAAGCAATGGTACATTGTGGTAGATGTGGCTCTGTGGAGTCTGCCCCCTGCTGGTGGGCTTTGAAATACATTTGTTTTTTTGTGTCGCAGTTCAGCTTGTGTCTTCCAGTTCCAAGGAGGCTGGATGTTTACCTGTGAACCCTTATTTGGCACAGGTGCTCCTGTGCATTCTGGGAAGGGACTGAGGTGGGGTAGGTCTCAGATGTAATTTGATTTATTAACAAACAGCAGTAAACACAAGGCAGCGCTGGAAAATGTGACATTTGGCCCGTTCACAAGCTCGGGGAGTTCCTTTTCCTCGTCTCTGTGCGTCCAACGGCAGGCAGGGGGCTTGGAAGGACTTGCAGCTGGGGGGCTTGATTATCGCTAGCTGGGGACCCTTGTCCTTAGCAGTGACACAACCTGTCAGTGAGGGGGCAGGCAGCTCGGTCACAAGGCTGACATACTTAGTATGTTTTCAAACTGTACTCTTTATATAAAGAGAATTCTTTTTATTGACCATCTAGCTATTATAATCATTTGGAAATTATTGTAGTGCACTGAATCTGCTTATAAAACTTATAGGCTTGTAGCTTTGAAATGCTAAAATTATGGTTCTGCGGTCCATATATTGCGCGTGTGTGTGTGCATATGTATACGTGTGCGTGTGTGCGTGCACACGCGTGTGACTGAGTGTCTGCGTATCTATACACGCACGAACCATCGCACACCCACTTGTAGGTGAACTCAGCATTCCGACTGTATCAATCTCGTTACTGCCATTAATGTCACTCCGAGCTCATCACACTGAAATTATATTTAATAATGGATGGCTTTCGGGCATAAATGTTAATGTGGAACGACTTCAAATTTCACATCTTGAAAATGACGGTGGGTATTGAGCCTCTCAATATTTGTAGCAGCATTTCTGTCTTCTTACCAAATCACTGTCTGTATACAACTTTCCACACAATCGCTCATAGTTTCTGCTAACTTTTAAAACGATTCCGACCCTGGCCTCGTTTAGTGTGTACCTCATGTCCGATTCAGCCGCAATGTGACAAAAAGAGGTAATATAGTTCGTGCTTGCAAAATCCATATTGAAGTGTTTCATTTAGATGATTTATTGCCGGAAAATTCCACAGAAACGTGCGCTTGCAGGGCGCTGTACACTTGCGTTATTTATTGTTATGAGCATTAGAAATTAGCGGTGAGTGGTTTTCATATTTCAAAACATCGGGCTTGGCCCAGCTTGTGATGTCTGCCCCGTCTCTTTGTCCAAAAGCGTCTGCTAAACAAATAAACGTAAATGCAAAATGTGGACGTTCCTTCTTCTTCAAGGATCCATGTGCTTAACAGAGTCTAAGTAGTCTGCTGCTATTCCTGTTACCATCCCAGCAGAAAATACTATGTCCATGACCCTTTATAGTAATCTGACATCTCTGTGAAATTTGTGTAAATATCTTTAAGAGATTTTCTCTTAATGGTCGAGATTTTATTCTAAGCCTATTCATTTGTGTGTTGAGTTATTGACAACCATCTTTATCGTAAACGATTTCAGGCTGTTGCAGCATACTTACGCACCGTGTACAGGTAACGAAAGAGCAACCTGAGGATATAATCTCGATGATTCTTCTGTTCCAGGCATTTACGTGGACGTTACTGCGAGGCGAGGCGGGTTTTTGCTAACTTACATAGCCCCTGTGAAGAGGAGCTTGTTTATTGAAGTTTTCTTGCGTAGCGCCTGTTCTCATTTTCACAGGAATGCACGCCCCTGCCAAGACACATTGTCCATGCAGAGTCACATGATACAGTCCTGAGAGTCATGTGAGGAGCTCGCTGCGGCCCCGTACGTCTGCGAGCCAGACTGCGTGCCCACAGTCCCCAATGCGCCAGTCAGCATGAAACGATGAAAACGCATCAGTTGAAACGTTAAATGAACGCCTGCACTAGTTCCAAGAAAGACAGTGAAGTGAAAGGAAAGAGAATGGTCTATAGGTCATTTTCTTTAAAGGCGTGATACCACCATTTTTGTCCACCGTGTTTAAACCTCACTGCGGGTAATGCGACACCAGAGAAGCCCGATGTGGATGGTGGAAAACCGATTGGTGGAGAGGTTGGAGTAGCCTTTGCAGTTTAGGAGAGTCCTGCAAAATGCGCAATAGCTAGGATACGAAAGAGAGGGCCTTTTGTATTTTATTTGGTATTGAAGTTTTTTAAATGTTGTTTTCCTTGAACTGCTGGAAAGTCTCTCACGTTCTATACGGAATTGTGTTTTCTTTTATTTTTTGGTATTTCCCCGTCTTTTGTATGGCCGCAGTCGCACTCCTCACTGGCGCGTGTCGTAATTAACCTCTTGAGGACAGTTGCGCTTTATTGCAGTGACATTTGGGGGCTGGTATCGGCAGCAGCGGCGCTGCAGCTGATAAAGCGCGTCGGCGGCGCCGCTCCGTGTTTGACTTCGCCTCCGCCCGACCGACGAGACGGCGCATATTTGTCAGCTGACTTTCCAAATGGCAAACATTCGGCCGGAACCCTCATGAGACGTTGGCAGCCTGACAGGTACATTTTTTTGTCCCCTCCTGTGGACCCCAGGTTCCGTCCGTAATGAAAACTAAACACGCACATCTTGTTTTTTCTTTTCCCCACCCTTCCCCCACCCCCTCGATCCATGTATCTTGACAGATGCACCTCTGCCAATGGGATTTGATCCTCTGGTTGGAGTTGTCAAAAGAAGCAGCCAATAGACAATCGGAATTGTTAAGGGGGGGGGGAACCAGGGAGCATCTGAACGGTGCATGTATAATTAAACAACAAAAGAAGCGAGAGCACTTAATCTTCCCTCTAATGGCAATTCCGGCCTATCACTCGCTTCCTCCTGGGGGGGTTTCGGGGGACGTTACTGGGGGGGTCACCTGTGTCCCCAGTTGTCATTGCGGAATCTTTTTTATCAGCTTCAGGTGTGTTTGCTCACGCTCCAGCTTTAATCCATTCATCATCGCTTTGTCCCTTTAAGGCCAGCCGAAGGCCTCTGGATGGAGCTATTTATCATCGCAAGAAAAGCAGGAAGATAAGGGCAGGAATATATATTTCACTGGAAACTTTTCTCAGCCTTTCAGGCTTTGTGTTTCTGGAAATATCTATAAATTAAGATATCTTGCTATTCTACACATGGTGGACGTTTCCTGCTAAATGGATGTATTCACCGTTAATTACGTGACTGAACAGGAAAGGAAAAAGGTGCTTTTTACTAAATCATTGCTGGATTTTCTTTCCTGGGTGTCCTGACGTGTGTCTACTGTGAGAGTCTGTCGGATGGTCCTGAAACCA